GAAGTCTCGTGCCCACCTGGCCCGTTTTGCCAAGCAATAACCTGCACCTTGTGTTCAGCGAATATTTTGAATCCAGAATGTTGGCCAAAAAGCGCCATACTACTACTACTGCAGTGCTGATATATTGCCTGGTAACAGGATGCTATGTCTTTCTGTATGTCCCCCTGGTACTCGGCCAACCAATAAGAATAGCCTCCCTAATGATCTGGGCCTTATTGAAGGCAACATTTCGATGTTACAAGCGAGTCTTGGGGAGCAATCGGGCGAGATCAAGAAGAAAAATTGCAGAAATCAGCAATAGTGATTTTGGTAAATCTCCACCGATCTTTGCAATGTCAAGAAATGGATTTGTTATCCCACCAATCAACGATTTGCACTGAGGATTTGACCTGCAGCTTCCGTTTATCTGAAGTGCTCCGTTCAAACAGGAAGCGTGCATCCACCTATCAAAAAACAATACCACAATTTACGACATTCGGATGCAGTGGCAGAGCCTAATCCTAACATGCGAACCAGAAACAGATGTCTTTACGAGGGACACAATACATAGAGTAGTATATATTAAACATTGCTCTGATGTAGGACCCTGTAAAGACTCAAAGTGTGGATCCAATTAAGTACGTCAACTATGATCAAGGAGCTGGCGGAAGGGAACCAATACCCAGGAAGAAACCGCATGCGTAGAATCCTGCGGGGGGTTAGGCTGTGGTTGTTTTTATCCCAGCTCCGGTTGCCTTTTTTACAGAATTTTCTTGCAACCAATAGACGAGAAGATTTATGAGATATTTCACTGCACCAGATGGACAGAAGCAGCAAAGGTGACAATAACCTACGTCAATACAGTCGAGAGATCACTTAAGACTACGACGAGATTGCTGCTACCAAACGTACCCATCAAGTGGAATGTCTTCACAATAACTCTGACAGATGTAGGGATTCCACCAACACCCCTACTCAATACTCGCTTCATCACAAACGGAACTCGCACGGCGATGTGGAAAAACAGTGAAGCTACCACCTCTGCGATGCATTAATAGTAGTAAAGCAGAAGAACTAGACTGCGAAGTCTTCGAAGACTGCATCTGTCTTCCAGCGGAAACAATGGTGAACTGCAGATGCAAGGACTACCCTATAGGGATCTGGTTCAACGATTTGAAAAATCAGTTACCTGTAGTTCTCCCGTCAATAACTTTCCGTCAGTCCGAAATCATCAATAGTGCAAGCAAATTTGTACAGCATGGTCACGTCTGAGATCAATTTATCGGATCCAGGACACATTAGAGACCAAAGTAATAGTAGACGAGGCAATATGTCAAGTAACAGCGGAAGAACTGACGGGATTTTACAACTGCGCAAAGGGAGCAGTGGCTTCCTGTTTTCTGTAAATCGACGAAAGACGGCACTCAAGCTGAGATAGAGTGCGGTACCGCGTCCTTTACAATACCATGCAATACCTCGGGCGTCAGCTCCGCACTTCGCTTCATTATGTCCAGGGCCAAGATCCGTCTCAGCTGTTCAGCAGCCTGCGGGAAAATAGTGACCTCCTTCGAAATCAAGGGTATACTTAAATTCACACTTTCAGCCCAGAGAGCAATAGAACGATGGCTTCAAGGCGCCCTCGTGACAGAAATGGAGGACCCTATAGCATTCAAGAAGTAGGCGTACCCACACAAAACAAGATTAATAGGTCAATATAAATAGCAAGGTAGATTGGGTCAATATAAATAGCAAGG